GCTGCGGGTAGGGCTGGCGGCGCGGGCGTGAGAGGGCGCCGGGGCGCGCCCTGCCCGGCGGGCCGGGGCCGGGCGGGGGCTGCCCGGTGTGGGGGTGCGCATCAGTGCGGGCGGGAGCCCAGCCGGCGGAGCGGCGCGGGGGGCGCACGCTGGCTGCGCGGCGTCGGGCGCGGTTTTCTGCCAGCTTGTCTAAAGCAGCGTTACTATCGCCGCTCTGAACCAACGGGTTGTCACCGATGCGGAGTGAAGGTCAACGGTCGTCTTACAAATACCCCTTCCGATGGGAGAACGCGACTGTGTGAGTCAATACTGTGTGAAACTGCCGCTTGCTCCGCCGAAACCGCTCTCGGGTCTGACAGGAGCACGGGCGCCGCTGGGGCCTACCCCGCCGCCCGGTCCCGCTGCAGACCGCGGTTACGCCCCAGGGCTGAGCAGTGGGGACAGCAGCAAACCTGACACTCAGTTGCACGTTTACAGCGCTTATCTTTTCCAGGAAAAGGCATGTAGTAAGAATACTTCCTTCCCAAGTACGGCATAGTTTGCTTCCTGATCTAGTCTGGTGATAGAGAGCAGAAAATGAACAGGTTATATACATGGTCAAAGCAAAGATGCAAAAGGTGTTCAGCGTAAAAAAGTCACTGGTTTTTGAAATTAAGTTCTTCAAGCCGTCGCTCCTCAGAGTCCACAAACTACATGCTTGCTCTACACACACGCGCACACAGGCTTATCGACTTCAAACTTAAACTTCTAACACAAGATTTGCAACAAGGTTTGGAAAAGATTTGCATGATCATTACAGATAACGCATGACTCCTAGAGAAAACAGGAGTCCTGTTTGACTCCAGTTTGCATCCTGTTTGAATCACAAGAACAAAATACTACCCATCTATCCATCGCGTCAGGTGCCTCAGCTCTAGAGTGAAGACGATGATACTTCTCTCTGATATGATAACCTAAACTGGAAAATAACTTTTTACAGTAATCCTGTTTCAGATGCGTAAGTCACTTTAGGCTGATTTTAAGCCTGGGTGGGGCGGAGTTAATCTCTTGGTTCCATATTGCAATGTGGACAACAAAAAAGGTATCCCCAGTTCCACTGGGTTACTGACTGGTGTCACTGGGTGAACTGAATTAGGCCTCTGAGCTGAGTGCTGTCCCAGTACAGCTTGTGTACAAGCGCACACGAGACTTACAGGGTACTTTTACAATTAAGAAAGCAAACAGTATTTCTGGGCTTTGGTTTTTAAAAACATTCTCTTTAAAAATTGAGCTGATGAACCAAATATGAACTGACATCTCAGTGAGGTCAAGGAGGATGTCAGTTTGTAGGTGAACTTACAGCATTTTCTGCTGATTGTTATAAATATCTGAGGTTGATGTGCAACTGAATATTTTATGTTTCATATAGCTCTTCCTCAAGTTATAAACAATGTTTGCCCTGAAGGTAGCTGGGTGGAGGAAACGTGAGAAACCTGGAGAACAATTTCAAATCCTTTTATCCCCTGTGTTTTACTAGCAGCCTGAAATACATTTCAAGTGCATCTCAACCAGTAGCTGTAGGTATGAACCCCAGGGTAAAGAAACCAGTTTCTTAATAAGGTTCCAGAAATGGACAGCTTTCTGTGCTGGTTGTTCATAGAATCATAGAATCGTTAAGGTTGGAAAAGACCCTTAAGATCATCGAGTCCAACCGTTAACTTATCACTGCCAAGTCCATCTATACCATGTCCTCGAGCACCACATCTATCCATTATTTAAATACCTCTAGGGATGGAGACTCAACCACTTCCCTGGGGAGCCTGTTCCAATGCTTGCCCACCCTTTCAGTGAAGAAGTTTTTCCTAACATCTAACCTAAACCTCCCCTGGCGCAGCTTGAGGACATTTCCTCTCGTCCTATCACTCGTTACTAGGGAGAAGAGGCCGACCCCCACCTCGCTACAACCTCCTTTCAGGTAGTTGTAGAGAGCAATAAGGTCTCCCCTCAGCCTCCTCTTCTCCAGGCTAAACAACCCCAGCTC